CTGCTCATTGTCAAGGTCCTAAAAAAGATGGTTCCATCCTGCTTTAGGGTTAGACCATCACTAAAGGTATTTTTTCCTTAACAACGTTCTCATTGCCACTTGGAACTATTCTCTATTAGAATGAGTTTCTTAACGCTGAGTGACAAAGCTGAGTGGGCTCCAAATTAAAACGAAGTGCGTTGTCTCTGAAAAACTGCACACCTGGTTTCCTCTTCAGGCCACACACAGAAGTGAGACTTCCCTCCCTTCCTTTCCTCGTGGAAAGAGCGGATGAGTGGACTGGAGTTCTTAAGTGTACCTGGGTGCAGATGTTTTGCCCGCCCGCCCGCCCGCCGCCCGCAAGTCCATTCTGCTCTGATGGAGACAGATGGCCAGGGCTAATCTCTCTTGGGTTGCTCAAGACCTTCGTTCTTCCCTCCCTCCCCCACCTCTTGAAAACGCAGTTGCGTGAGCGCTGCCCCACCCACCCAGGAAGGCAACAAGTTTAAACTTCTCCAGCTCCGGAATGAAAGGCCTTTGTAGGAAGGCAATGCTGGCAGCTGGGCAGAAGCAATTTAAAACCGGTCCCACCAGTGCAGCAGGGAGAGCGAGTCAAGGTCCTCCGTAGGCTTCTCCCAGTGTGATAGACACTTGGAGACAGCAGCCCAGTTGCCTTCAGAGTCAAGTGGAAGAAGGCAGACAGCAGTGGGAGCCATGAAGCTTGTTTTGTCCCAGGGAAACCGCGTGATGGAGGGACAAAAACACTTCCAGGAGAGGGAAGTCTAGGTGGAGCACTGGCCAGAAGGATGACCTGAGATGCTTAATCAGCGAAAAATATCCTAGTTATAAAATTCCACTTAAGATCATCCTAAAAATTAACAGTGGCATGTCAAGTCTTAGATGTTTAAATATATCTATCTCATAGAGATTAGGGAGTTTCAAAGAAACATGGGATAACATTCCTACTGATATTGAAATACCATGTTTATAAATGTGGCTATCCGAATTAAAACATATTTGGAAAAAAGCAAAATAAGCATTTAAAACAATGGTCTCCAGAGAAAGAAAGGGAGTGGAGTGGGTGTGTGAAGAGGTGGGGAGGATCTGGGAGGACTTGGAGAAGGGGAGAAGTGTGATCAGAATATATTGTCTGAAAGGGATTTTTAAAAAACAGATTGTAAAACGAACAAACGAACAAACACTGGTCCTGTCCTGGGAGAAGCAATGGTCTGTAAAGACAGCAGAGTTTACACAGAGTTCAAGCTTCCAAGTGATATATGCTTCTCTTAGTTTGCATACATCATAAGTTTGCAGTTATGGGAGGAGAAAGACTACAGGGATAAGGAGGCTCCGAAAGGAACACTGAATAAATAACTAGTTTGATGGTTCTGTTTGTTATAATTATGATTGTGCTGGTCTGCTCTGTCACTTGAGTACCCTGTCCCTTTAAGAGACAAGCTCCGCCCACTCCCAAGCTCCGCCCCCAACCGAATTCCACTCTCCCTTCTCTCTGCACAGCTCCTTTTCTGAAAAGGTGGCTGTCTGCCTCCCTCCTTCTCCCTCCTCTTCCCCCTTTTTTGGTCCCTTTTTCTCTTTCTCTTTCTCTCCGTTCTCTTCCTCCCCATACCACCCTACTCTTATACCCTCCCAATACTCATTAAATAAACTCCCCTTACCCCAAGCTCTCTCTGCATGGCGTATCTGTCTGTCCGTTAACCCGCCGCGGTCCTCACTCCATAAATCATAACACTGTTACTGTTAGAGCCATTCATTTCACTCCTAAACCTATATGCTTCATAGCTTCTTTCCCCCATAATGAGGATTGGATTCAGGCCCTTGCACACGCTAGGCAAGTACTCTACCACCAAGCCCTCTTCTACCTACGCTAAAAAGATCAAAGGGCCAGAAAAGAAAAAAACAAAAAGAGGAAAATAAAAGTACCTCTAAGTTTAGCCGGGCGGAGGTGGTGCACACCTTTAGTGCAAGCACTCAGGAGGCAGAGACAGGCGGATCTCTGTGAGTTTGAGGCCAGCCTGGTCTACAGAGAGAGTTCCAGACAGCCAGGGCTACACCCGAGAAACTATGTCTTAAATAACCAATAAATAAATAAATGCAAGCACCCCTTTAGAAAAATTGGATAGAGAAGTTCACAGGAACGTGATCTTCAACAGCCTGAAGGAGACGCAAACCAAAGGTCTATCAGCTGAATAGGACAAGCCCACACAGTGGAATATTAGTCGGTAGAAGGAAAAGTGCTCAAGTGTGCTATGAAGTGCATAAAGCTTACCATTTTAACACACGAAAGAATCAAGTATTGCTTGGGTCTGTTTATACAAAGGGTCCAGAGGGGATAAATTTAGAGACACAGGAAGTAGACTCATGTAAGGGCACCTTTGAACCGACTGGAGATGGAGAATGATTGCTATTGACCAAGAGGGCTCTGGGAAGGACGGTGAGGCGTTAACACTTAGATTGTAGATGACTTCACAAATCTGAGCAGGTCCTAAAACTAATGACTTGAATCCCGCGCTTGTCAAATGCTATCGTACACGAACTGTATCTCAAGAAAGATGTATTTTATTTATTTATTTTGATAAAGGTGTTTTAAAGGACGCTGATTCCGTTAACTTGTTCAGAACTGAGCTGAGCTTCTAGAACTAACTAACATGAAACGCAGCTCTAATTGAATTAGTTAGCGACCCACAGTGAACCTTTGGGAACCGTTGAGGGTGGGTGAAGTCTTCCAAGTGTCAAAGCCTGAGCTGGGGAGGGGGGGGGAGCGTGAAGAGAAACAGACTGTTTCAATAACAAAACCGTCCCTACAGTTTAAAGATGACCTCAGAAGTCAGATCCAGAAACCATACATACAACTTCCCGTGAGATCAGCAGTCCAGAGCATGCTAACAGCTGCATGAGCTATGACTCACTCGTCGCCCCCCCCCTCCCCCCCCCCCCGCCGTGGGAACACAGCTGCTGTCAAGCACAGCAAAGACATTCTACAGAACACGTTGGTCGCACATGCTTATCCCTCAGAAAGAAGAATCCAGGTAGCCAAGGGTGCAATTTCCAGTGACTGGCTGACTGTCAGGCCTCAAACATACAAGATCTCTAATGACCTCCAGTGGTTACATCAGAAACTGCTGGTTTATGGTCCCTGAGACGGGAATGAACTGTGCAAAGTGATGATGGATTATGAGGTTTGGTAGGTTATTTTTTTTTCCTGGAAAGCTGCAAGATAGGGTAAAAGGAATAACAGCAAATAACAATGGGGAAACCTGCCTTCCTGACCTTCAGACACTGACTGAAGAGCCTGTGCTAGGGCTGGGAGCTGTCTCAGTGGTCAAGAGCACACACAGCTCTTCCAGAGGAGCCGGGTTCCGTTCCCACGTTGCACAGCATCTTACAGATGCCTATCATTCCATATCCAAAGGATCTGACAGACTCTTCAGGCCTCTATTGGTATCCCTTCTTCCCAAGACACACACACTTTAAGTATAAGTAAATAAATAAAGATTATTTAAATAAAAGAGTCTTCGCAATTCACTCAACACAGCCAGGGAGCTGTCTCCTTCCAGTAACCCCACCACCACCAGGAAGCCTCAGTGAACGTTCTATTCTGTGCACACAGATACAGGAATGAGAGCCAGTGGAGAAGAGAAAAAAATAAATAACTGATCTCAATGTGATGGGCAAAGGCAGCTGGAAGGAAGGGTAGAAGGCAGTTTTGGGGGAAGAAGCCACACCTACCTCTTGATGATTTCTGATAGTTGTATAAAAAATTGAAGGTTAGTTTCTCCTTGAGCTCAGAGTGAAATCAACTAACCCCAACTGAAGACATACCCAGTTTCACGAAGCAAATTGTAGGAAATAAGTCACTTCCTCAAGTCTCCTCTGCAGGCTTGACAGAGTTGGTAAAGAGTTTCACTTCGTGGACAAAGAACAACATCTCAGAAACGCTATCGAATTATGATGGTTGGCTGAAGTTACCAGCAGTTATCCCAGAAGGACTCAAGAGCACCTCTTTGGGGGTGAATCCTGCAAAACCATCCTTACAGCACCTGCTACTGGCCCAGCTAGGTTCTTCGGTCAGGTCCAGGCACGCTGAGGAGCTTTCTAGAATATATTGGTTAGCCACACATCTTGAGTATTTCTAACATTTAGCTGACTGTTTAATATGTCCCTGGTTGATCTGATTACCTCTTGAGTCTGATGTTTGCTCTGCTACCTGGGAAATATCCGAGAGCTGCAGAGCCATTGTGACCTTCTCAATATGAGAAAGCTAATGAAGGGCTGGGGAGATGGCTCAGAGACTGAGCACTGGCCCTTCTTCCAGAGGTCCTGAATGCAATTCTCAGCAACATCATGGCGGCTTAAAACCGTGTATAATGAGATCTGATGCCCTCTTCTTGTATGCAGGCATGCATGTAGACAGAACATTGCATACATAATAAATTAATAAATCTAAGAGAGAGAGAAAGCTAATGACCTCTAGAATACTAATCCCTGATGAGAACATTAGCCTCCCTGGCTGTGATTTCAACTAACAAATGTCACACTATCTGTGCCAAAGGGGAAGGGAGAAATAAGGACAGGAATCCACAAACAATTCATCAGCTGCATATCTTGTTCATAACCCTAAAGGCCGCTAGTACTGCCCCTTTTTACATCCTTTTGATCCATCCATTGTTTAATAATCATTATGAACTGTCTACCCATCTGGCATCTATTGTCTGATAGCTCCAAGAAGAATTTAATAGACCAGGAGAAAAGACCAAGCCACTGACAAGTGTTTGCAAAAATGAAACAGCCGCCCACTGGTATGAAGGTGTTAAGCCCCCCTGAGCTCTGTTTCAGACTCAAGGAGGAAGCAGGCACCAGAAGGATCTGTTCATAAACCGTAAAATAACAATGGCCTCATTTTTTTTTATAGAGAAAAGAGGAAAAACTCCTTAAGGGTTATATAAACATGTTACCATATTTTAGCTTAAGAACCAATAATTTCATCGTTATGCTATTTTTACCTGAGCTGTGACTTAGAGCATTGTGAAAGAATTGTGAATAAGAACTCCTGCCGTTGCTTGTGGGTCCAGAGGCCAAACCAGTGACCTATGAGAGTAACTCTTTCTTGAAAGAGCTAGAAGAGAGGAAAATGAGATTTCACTGTCGGCTTCCAGAAGGTTTCAGTTGCTAAGCAGTCGGTCAGCTAGTAACCTCACAGCTAATAGTCGCATGCTCACGGCAGTTCACAGGTAACTTTCACGCACGCTGGAGGGGCTCTGCTTTGGCCTTCAGGTGTTTTTATTCAGCATCCAGGCAAGCTAGGGCTTGTCGGTGGACCAGTGGGGAAAACCAGGGAGTGTATAATTACAGAGGGGCCAGAAAGAGCCTCCTGAGAACAAAGGGCAATGATGAGCCACTGCTCCTGTGTTTACCTAGGTTAGTGTGGCCCAGGGCAAGAATCCAAGTGTTCCACCTTGTCTACAGGTGTCTACTCCCTGAATGATGGAAGCAGTACCATTCAGTAAGGATTTGGTTTCTTTGCTCTTAGATCTGGAGCTTTATAATGCCCATGAAACTGAAAATGAGTAATAATTGCACAATACCATTGTGAACTGTGTCTCCAGTGAGGACAGACACCGTGAACTAACATCTCTGAAAGCCTGGTCTCAGCCTGACTTTCTTACATAAAGACATATGCAAACCCATCGTCTTTACTGTTGATCAAGTTTTATCTGCCAGCTACCTCCTTGCCTCCCACTATGTGGAAGCAGCTGAACCCACGTGAACTCAAGTCTCCACGAAAATCTGGCAAGACTGCCCTACGGTTCAAAGAATTCTTGAATTACTTTTCAAAAGAACAGGCGCTCTGGGGCTCCGTGGAATCATGCAGTGTGCATATGATAGAAGAACAGATGAAAGACACATAGAAACATACATGAAAGCGCCCTTACTACCTCTCAGAAGCCCTTCCCTACTTCCCTCCCCTACCACAGAAGCCCACGGTGTCCTGGAGGAGCAGAGTCGGGGGGGCGTGCAGATGCTGTGCCTTCCTGGGTAACAGAGTCCTGGGTGGGGAGCCTCTCACTCTGAGACATAGTCAGGCTTATTAAAAAAAAAGACTCAAAAGCTAAATGATTTTTCTTTAAAAATATGATAGCATAAGATTCAACGTACTCAGTAAAATTGGCTTTACCAATTGAACTCATGTCTTCTGCAGAGAATGGAACTCACCTGTCTGTTTAAGGACCGGTTGTTAAAAGGAGTCCAGGTGCTGAATCTCATGTGGAAACTCTCCATTTCCAGACTTCTCTGGGGAAAGTTCCCGAGTGACATCTCAGCAAATTATTTTCTTCCACTTCTAGGAACTATTGGTTCCATTTAACAGATGTATGGATAAGAACGCTTAGAAACAACCACAATATTAATTGTTTTCTCTATAGGAATCACAGAATTACTATATCCATTAATATACAGGTAAACCATACACAAAATTTACAATTCAGGTATGTCTATGCATATGTATAGTAGACCATGAAAATACCCACCAAGTGTCCATGAACTCCAAAGTGACATTTAGTTTGTATTTATATACGTGTATCCAGATCTGAATCTAAACAAGGGATTTTACTCCGCTGGGAAAGTGCAGAGCTAGAACGGGGTTTCGGAAGAGTTGTTGCCCACTCAGAACTGGTGTAAAATTGTTACCCATTGCTGCATTCCCAATCACTCCAAATTTTAGTTTAAAACATCAAACTTTTTTCTTTCTTTTTTAATCGCAAGATTCCTGGAGGTTAAGAATCGAGGTATAAGACCAGGGTGATGGCTTTGTGGGTGAAAGAGCTTTTTGCACAAGCCTTTTGACCTGGGTTCCAGGTCCTGAAGTGATATAACCAGCCAGGTGTGGCACCCACATCTGTAAGCCTGACACACATACATTTATTTGAAAAACAGAAAAATGAGCCGAAAACTCAAGTGTCACTCAGCCTAGTATATGCAGTACAGCGGCAGAAGCAAAAGAGAGACCCTGCCTCAGCAAGGGGGAAGATGTTGAACTCTGACTGCCAACCACACCGTGGTCCACTTCTGCAAATGCAGTCAGTAATGAGTTTCCTGTAGTAACATTCATTTTGTACCCCTTTGTATAAAATACAAGCTCACTCTGTATATTAAATGTCTTTGGACTACTGTTCTACCTTTTTCCCGGTAGCATAACATGGAAGATGGGTTCCCATCTCCATCTTCCGGTGCTGTGAGCCTGCTGTTGACACCACTTGGACTGCATTGATCTTACCACAGCATCTTGTTCTTAGAACTAATGTCTGCATCAACTGAAGATTTAAGGAATAAGTCACACTAAATTTATGGAGCTCTTTCAAAGAAGGGAGAAAAGGGTGGCGATTCCAAAATAAAACTTTGATACCAGCTCCCAATATGAAAGGAATACTAAAGGTTTACTACCATAAACAGAGATGCAGAAATCACCCACCCACCAAATTCAATTGTTGCTGCTGCTTCTCCTCCTCCATAGGCTGGCCTCTAACATGCTTTAGCTGGGGATGACCTTTGAACTTTCGATCCCCTTGCCCCTCGAAGTGCCTTAATATTGAGATTACAAGGCTGTTCCACTACTTGGGATTTCTGTGACACTATGGGCTGAGTTTAGAGTTGCTGCAGACATACCAGACGAGTATTCTACTGGCTGAGCTACATCCCCAGCTCTAGATTTAGTCTTCAAATGTAAATGTGACATTATGTCAGATTACTACATGATGACATGCACTACAATATGTCAAATATAATTCGACATCATAAAATCAATGTGCTTATCATCATAAACTAAACAAAGTTATATAATAATCTCAGTAGACACAAAGCGTGTATTTTATAAGTTTCTGCCACTTATTCATTGACACACACACACAACCCTTAGTAAAGCAGCCATGGGGGGTTTCTGAATCCAAACATGAGTACAGATAAGAAATGTATGTCAAGCATGGACTCTACAGTGAAGCGGACCCTTCCTTCAGGTTACAATTAGCATCTTTGACATTGTTCTGAGTGTTCTTTGCAGTGTGATAAACCACTAACCAAAAAACATGTGTAACAATGTTAATGAGAGAAGTGAAATTGCCATTTTTGACATCTATACTACAGAATCAACAGCAACTCGACATGTTTAAAAGCTGCTTCTGAAAGTTCAACAGGCAAAATCAATTTCCATATGCTCACAAACATTTACACAATGTTTAATGATCTATTTTCATTGTCTGTGCATTGATGCTTTGCCTGCCTGTACACCTGTGTGAAGGAGCCAGATCCCATGGAGCTGGAGTTCCAGGCAGTTGTGAGCTGCCACATGGTGTTGGGAACTCAACCATGGTCCTCCAGAGAAGCAGACACTTAACCACTGGGTCACCTCTCCAGTCCCTCACAAAGACTTTTAAAGCAACAATGTATCATTTATATAAAAAAAAAACCTTTATAATCCAAGTCAAATATGAGGGCTAAGCATTCCACATAGAATACTAACTAAAAAGTGCATCAAAAAATATTAATAGATTATAAATAAGAACATGTACGTTAAAGATGTCTATTCTCCCAAATTACTCTATTACCCAGTGTAATGTCAACCAAAATCCAAAAAGCGTTGAACAACTGATTAGAAAATGTATCTAGAGCTGGGCGGTGGTGGTGTAAGCCTTTAATATCAGCACTGGGAGGGAGAGGCAGGCAGGTCTCTGAGAGTCAAGGTCAGCCTGGCTTAAAGCCAAGGCTACAGAGAAACTCTGTCTTGAACAACCAAAAGAAAAAAAAAAAGGAAAATGTATCTAGAACAGCAAAGGCCAGCTTGGCGGAGAAGGAAGAGTCAGGACTTGGCTGCAGTCCATATGTCAGGACTTGTTTATCCTAAAGTTAAGGTAACAAGCCCATGAAATTTTGGCTCAAGAATCGCTAAAACAATAGAAGCCCAGAAACTGAGCCACGTGTATATGGGTACTTGACTTCTAACAAAGGCGGCACTTAGATTGCAGGGGAAGGACAGGTCCAGCCACAACACAGAGGGGGACAACCGCCCAGGTCACCCAGCTGATCACCTGAATCAGGACAATACATTACTGTTGTTTCGAGCCACTGTTTTCCTTAAGGTGGTTTGCTATTCCGAATTAACAAAAACCAATATATGTGGAAGTTTATTTACGCCATATGTAACTTAACACAGAGCACCGACACCGGGCCCAGGGTGATGAGGGGACGAAGAGGGGGTGATGGGGAGATGAAGAGGGGATGCATCACTAAGACAGGCTCAGAAGGTGATCTGGGTTAGTGAGCTACGGGAAGCCGAGTGACACTGTTGCCTGTGTTACTGTGATTAACCCAAAGTGCCACAGAGAACATAGACACATGACCAGAGGGGTTCCCAGCAGAATCGAGAAACTGGTGGTTGATTAACTTCTTCATTTATATATGCAAAGTCGAGCGAGATAGCCAGGGCTAACACGAAAGATCTTAGTCTGGGGGTAGACTATCCAGTACGCTTTCCAGCAGCCCATAGAGTCTCAACAACAATCAGCCTTTGGACAAAGATCGAACAAACAGTGTGGCCGTGAGACTCTGGTAAGATTTAGGGCGATGTTGGGTAGATCCTCCCATTCAACAAGTGAAAAGGATTTCCTTTTCCCCCAATTTCTTTGTATTTCTGTGTATATGCGTATATCTATGCGAGTGTGCACGTACCCACAGAGACCAGAGAGACCTACAAACAGAAGAACCACACAGAGGAAGCCAAAACACTTACAACGCTGTGGAAAATAAATTGTGATTGTTACATGTCACTTGACATTTTGGGATGGTTTGTTACCCAGCACAGACTTCAGTGTGCCAGCTGCAGTGGGTATTGGGAACTCAGACACAGCTGGTGCCGATGTACTTTAGACAGCTGTTTGGCATACTTACTGAAGTTGAGTATATACATATAATTGCCCTAACAGAAAAAGTACACATATGAATTAAAACATCAAAAGCACCAGATTGCTTAGGGTGGGGATCATTCAAGCAAGTGTCTATCACAGCTGGATGGATAAATGTATCATATATCCATGTAACAGAAGGCTGTGTATCATGGGATGAAGGAACTGTTAAACACGGCCACAGGAGGCTCACACATACACCCTAGTGACAGAAAAGGCTAGGAACAGAATAAAACATTTGATCACAATGGTTGAAGAACCAAGACAGTTTCCTTTGGAGAAGGAAAGAGTAATATTTAGGAGGGGGCACTAGAGGAGACTGCAGGGGCTGAGAATGATCTAGAAATAGCAGTCCAGGTGAGCTCACTTCATAGCACTTCGAGCCCTATGGTCATGATTTGTTTTTTCGTAATTCTGTATTTTGAACAAGAAGTTTGTAAAGTGATATAGTTACAACATCAAAAACAAGTGCATTGAAAAAAGTGAGTAAAAATATTATGAAGAAAGCCATAACACTTTATTGAAAACTATTCTCATCAGAAAGAGGTGACACACGCCTTTAATCTCAGCATTTGGGAGGGAGAAGCAGGCGAGTCATGAGCTCGAGGACAGCCTGGTCTACAGAGTGAGTTCCAGAGAAGCCCTATCTCAAAATAAAACAAAAGGAAGAAAACGATTCCAACGTTCTAAGTGACCTCAAGTCCGAAGTGAACAGAGAGGTGTGCTCCTTCATGGTCACAGGACTTCCAGAGTGGTTGATTCTCTCACGCTGATCTATAACTCCAACACACTCCGTGAGACATTAACAACCACAGACGAATACAGAGGTGATGGCACATCATTCCCAGCACTTAGGAGACTGAGGCAGGAGGATCTCCAAGAAACTAGCCAAAAGTAATACAGCAAGGCTCCAAAAAAAAAAAAAAAAGACTTGGTGGTGTCAGAAAATTTTTTAAAAATCACTTTAGATCTGAGAGGACTCATTCCAGAGAACACCTGGTCACCTGAGTTTTGTGTCAGGAATCCATTGCTAGGACACACACGTGTTCTCTCTCTCATACACACACACACACACTCACACACAAACACACACTAAGTAAATGCAGAACAAGTCATCCAGCAGCTCAGTTGCCTCCCTATGCCCACTTCTAGACAGAGTGAAGCTCAAGCTGGGTTGCCCCGTGTTGGTGATGTTCCAGCTGACACACAAGCACCGTGGAGGTTTCTAGCCGCCCTTGGGTGCTGTAAATTCGAAGTGAGCAAGCAACTAAAGACTGGGGCAGAAGAATCCCTGAAGACGAGCATTTGCATATGTCCTGCCTCCTGCCATAGAACCCAAGAGAAAGGCATATTTTAAAGTGATCG